GTATGGCTATCAGACAACACCGCCTATATGTCGGGCAATCATAATGGTGCAATCGTTCTTTTCAATAAGTCAACAAAGTCTAGATCAATAAGAATTGGATGTGGGTTACACATTATGCATATTATATTTAGTAACTTTGAGCAGACCGCGTTTTGAAGTCTTTCTTCAACTATCAGTTTTACGAAAGTTATGCATCCATATAACCTAGCTTATCTAGCATAGGAATTGCACGACGGTTATGATATGAGTGATAGCGATAAAGCTTTGAATATAACTGGAAAAAAGATTAAAAAACTATATCAAAGTTACTTAGGTTTACACTTTACTTAATATCAACGACCAATTCGTGGTCGCTAAGGTTATGAATTGCTAACTCTTAAACAATATTTGGAACGTTATCCATCGCATTTAAAGTTTGCTAGCTGGTTTATACAGCAACTAGAAAAACTTCATAAACCTCCTTAGGCATATCTTCAAAAGTGGTATCTTTTTTTACAATGGATGCAAAATCCAAAATTAATTATTCAAACCAAATGTTTAGTACGATTCGGAACATATTTTTATGAACCGTTAGTACAGTTCATGGTTGGACAAGATACCGAACCAAGAATCTTACATGAAAACAGTTACAAGAAACTTCCAAATGGTCACCGGGCACATGAAATGCCTAATAAGGTATCCGAATGGATTAGTTATTTAGACGATATTAAAAAGACTTTGAGCTTTTTTTTGCCAATGAATTGTTAGAGGCTGTCGACCTTCTAGATGCTGAACAATTTAAAGAAACTCTTAATGAGCTTGAAAATGGGGTTCAAAAAGCATTTGATCATTTTACGAAGTGGATAAAACCTTGGTATCACTTACCATTGTCTATTTGTCGATTGGGAAGTAATTCAGGTCAATCATTCACTCGAAGTTTTTACCATATTACTTTAAAACAACCATGGATAAATATACCAAATGAAAATAAAATCAAATTCGCAAAGGAATTAGAAGACGATATTGCTGATTCTAATACCAATGACTTTGGATTGTCTAAATTATTGTTGGAGGATAATTACTTTCGACATGAGTTTGAGGAATTCTGCACATCAACAAACCCTTTATTACATCACTATCCTCACATTTATGAATTTGTCAAAACTAAAATTTATAGTATTAAAATTCACCAACAGCAACTCGAAGGGTTGTTCAACAAATTGGATTTAAAAACGCATTGTAATATGACAATGGACCTTCACAAATCAAAATTACGTTTAACTACAGCAAAACTCGACAAGGAAAATTTAAAAGCCAGAATTGAAGAAACTCGTTCTGAAAGAAACAAGTCCAAAAAAAATTTTTCGGGAATACCAAGTCAATTAGACAATCTTCAAGCTGAGCAACTCTTTGAACATATGTTTAGTAATAAGATTAAATTGTAAATCTTTATTATATTGATATTTGCTGCTTTGCTCGAAAAATACTCAGATATTACAATAATTATAATATAAATAAAGTAAATATGATTTAAAGCTTTAATTAATTTAAACAAAGTATTATGATAATTATTTTATGTATTACGATCATTATGTATTATTTTTTATAATGATAATTTTAATGATAAATTATGTATTATTTTTTATAATGATAATTTTAATGAAAAAATCTGCAATATTGCAAATTTATATGGGACTAGACATATGTTT